AATAAGTCACAACTTTGGAAGTTTTCATTCTGATTCTTAGCCTAATAATATAAACCAGTTGAATCATATGGAATTATAGTTTCTTACTAAGGTAATCATTAAGTATTTAATATCTCATGATAGGTAAGTTTTATTGCTGAGGAACTTTAAATCCCTAATCTCATTTAATTTAAAAATACATTTAGAAATCAAATTACATCAACAGCTATTTTTGAGCACCTACTTTTTTACAAAACTGTGAAAAATGCTGCTATCAAGAATATTTTTTAGCCAAGCTGGGTGTGGCTCAGCTGTTGAGCATTGACCCAGGAACCAAGAGGTCACCAATTCAATTCCTGGTGGGTTGCTTGGTTGTGAGATTGATCCCTAGTGGGGTGGGGGTGGGGGGAGGCGCGCAGGAGGTAGCCAATCAATGATTCTCTCTCATCATTGATGTTTCTATCTTTCTCTCCCTCTCCCTTCCTCTCTGAAATCAATAAAAAAGATTTTTTTTAAATAATACTTTCAGAATTATTTGAAGTTATATAACAGATTCTCTCTTTTTTTCAGTGTTTGTATAGGAATAAGTATTTAAAAAGGGTAAAAATTTTCATAAACAGTGATCTCACCTTTAACAGAAAGAGAAATAAAGTGGAAAAAACTAAGAGTCTGAGTCTATTTTTATAGAAAGTTCACAAGTATAGAATCAGAATTTTAAGGCGAAATAAAATACTAAACTGTTATGATTATTTATTTTATTTTACCATAAGATACATATTACATGTCTACTTTAAACAAATGCAAAGATAATTGATCATTCATTCACTTAATCTTACCAAAATAAATATGGCCAGGTATATAATTGACCCTATGTCTCTAAAGTATATTTTGCGTAAAATGATAAGAAACATATTTCTAGAAGTTCTAAATTTGGGGCTTCCTTTTTCTGACAGAGATATTTTCTATATAAGGATTATAGTATTTCTAAGTAGTTAACATGGGCTCTCTAGTTCAGGTTTTCCTTAGGATAATTTTACAGTGGCATTTACCATATCTTGCCTTGTGTGTGTTGACTCCCCAATTAGGATGCGATACCACTGAGAGCACGAATCATGCTTCTTCACATTCAAAGTTCCTAACTCAATGCTTTTCATTTAGGTGCAATTTAAAAATAATTGAGGGAAAGAAAGGGGGGAAATAATGATACTCTAGAACTTTAAGGTGCTATTAATAATACATCTTTAGGCACTTCTTTAAATGCACAGAAATGATTCATTACCTTTGATTGATATGACCAACCTACTTAATCAAATTACTTGTTTAAAAGAATATAGTTGCTTTCCCATGATTTAACAACTTCATCTGTCACTCAGAACTAATGTAAAGAGCATGGACTTTGTTGTCAAATTCTAACTTAGCTGCCTATTAACTCTGTAAGCTTGGCCAGGCTGCCCAACTTCTTCAAGCTTCATTTCCTTTCTTATAGAAGAGAGTTGGTAACACTTAACTTTCTGATTTATTGTGAAGAGAGAGTAGATTTTAATATCTACCCTGCATGCCTTTTATTCAGAGTGTGACTAATAGGAAATTAATCTTGCTAATCATCAGATTCCTTATCTAGTCAATAAACATTAATTGTTATATAACTAATATCATTGAGCATCTATTAAGCACCAGACAATATATAAATATACATACTATATCTATCTATCATCTATCTCTCTATCTCTCTATCATCTATCTATCTATCTATCTATTAGTTGCTCAATGATATGTATTCTATTCCTATGTTAGATAAAGTGCAGGAAGCTAGAGAGCACTAAGACAAAAAGGAGGCATATTTCCATCCTGGGAGTAAGAGATATCCTGGTGGGGAATATATGTGAACGAGATTTGAATTAAGAATGCACATTAGGCCCTGACCAGTTTGGCTCATCAAAGAGAGCGTCGGCCTGCAGACTGAAGTGTCCCGGGTTCAATCCCGGTCAAGGGCATGTACCTTGGTTGCGGGCACATCCCCAGTGGGGGGTGTGCAGGAGGCAGCTGATCGATGTTTCTCTCTCATCGATGCTTCTAACTCTCTATCCTTTCCCTTCCTCTCTGTAAAAAATTCAATAAAATATATTTTTTTTTTTAAAAAAAAAGAATGCACATTAGCCACATGAAAAATGCTGGGAAAGGGAGAGAATAACGACAAGGGGGTGTGAAACAGTAAATTTGTATGGCAACATCCTGATAGTAGGTTGCTCCTTGAGTTTGGAATGTACAGGAGAATGAGTGAGAATGAAACTAAGAATAGGTCCAAGCTGGTGGGGACTTCAATTAATTATGTAGACACTCTGAAAGGTGTCAAACAGGGGAGTGACATTGACAGAATGCAGTGTAGAAAGAAATCATTGTAGCTAAAATGTTCAGTATCTATTTAAGAGGTAAAAGAGGGGCATTACTAAAGGAAAGGACAAATTGGAAGGCTGTGACATTCATATATGTGGGAATGACACTCTGAATTATACAGTTGTAGTAGTGAGGAGAACAAGTTTGAGAAATATTTAGAATATAAAATGGATAAGGCTTATTGACTACTTGGTGGTGAAGTTGAGTGAGAAGGGAAAACCGAGGTCTCTGGCTATTAACAGGTTTTGGAGAGGGGAATAAATAATGCATGCAGTTTAGAATATGTTGATTTTTGGATTGCAGTCAGACACACCCAGCAAAGTGAGTTTAGAGAGATAAGAGCTAAAGACAGATTTGAGATATCTATAAAATATCGCATACCTTCCAAGGTGAAGCCAAGGTTTAAATTAGATAATGTGTGTTAAGTGCTGAGTGCTACAAAGCTCTATGGATAAAATAAATGAGTTGATCTTCCTAACTAAGTAAGTGGAATTCTTATTCCATCCTGGGTAAAATTAGCAAACATGGCTCTTTTCAATAGAGCCTGAAGTTAAAGCTTCAGCTTAACAGTTTCCTCTGGGTTTTAAAGACAGCTTGATGAGCTGACTGTCAGTCTTCTAATTATTTCTTCTCTAATCACTAAATTATTAAGGAATTGGCATAATGGACCATCCTTCCCAAGCTATTACCAAATAGTTGACTAATACTCTTGCTTCTTTTGTCAAATGCATCCTGGCAAAAAGATCCCTGCAAAGATCCTCCAGCAACCCCTCTAACATAAGGCCTCTGACTTGGAAAATATATTTTTTAAATCCAACAATATAAAGTGACATGAAGTCATTGGAAATACATTTTTTTAGCTTTCAATTCCAACTAAGGGATCCAAGTCTTGACCACCTTTTGGAAGATGGAATAAGTGGAGAAAGATGGGAAGAGTGATAACGTTTCCTCCTCTCATTTCAGTCTTCCCAAAGCTTCCTCCCCAAGATTATAGAACATGATCACCCACAAAGATAGACCAGAAAATTGGATGCTCCTTTAACCATTTTCAGATGACTCTACACATCTCATCTTTTAAAAATTTTCCCTGTAAGCAATAAAAAAAAAAAAACTTACATGAGATGCTAATTTCTAACTATGGAGATCTTAAAAATATAATTAAGAAAATGGTATTCATGCTTCTAACTGCTCTGTGTCACTCATGATGTGTTCTTCCATCCCTATATGGATTTCCTTTCACACACAGACCCATATCTACTACCCATGCACCCATTGTCTAAGGCCTATCTTGTTCTAGTAGGCTTCCTTGATTACTAGAGTTAAAAGAAATAGCTTCCTCTTCTGGCCTCTTACATTGTTCACGTTGCACTTTAATAAATATTATGTAGTTTTCACTCCTCTGCTATGGAGATCTTAAAAATATAATTAAGAAAATGGTATCTCTACAGTTGTAAATTACACTGATTAATTTTTTAAATTCTTTTTGTTCTGTCCCAAATTTAAATTGGGTCAGCTGTATACTACACATCTACCCTGCCATGATATTAGAGAATTAAATGTTATTCACTGCCACAACCTAATTATAGAGATCATTAGGCCATAGTCTATTGGAACGGTTATGAGCTGTTAATGGCTCATGATTGCTCCCAGGGATGTGAAGAAGCCTTGTCTTTCAAAGTTGAGGATGATTGAATTAGTTCTTAATATCAAGTAGAATAATCTGGTCTATATTTCCTTCCTTATAATCAAACTTCCCCTGAAACTGAGCTGTGTGTGGCACTCTGCTTGTCTGCATACGCGCATTTGCATTAGAAGAAAAGCCTTTCATGTGATTGATAAAAATCCCCAAGTATATACTGCTAGCTTTCTAGGTATGAAATCTGTTTAATCCTAGCTTCAAACCCTTCAGATCATAATTCTATAGTGAATAATGCTGGGCAAATTACCTATTAGAGCAATATTTTGTGAAATGTTGAATTTATGGACAATATATTTTCAAAACATAGCACTTTAATTTTTCCTAGTGCTTATACAATGCCATAGAAAAGACTCTGTTCATGATCCCTTAGTTCTCTCAGGAAAAAAAGGAAAGAAAAGTAATTTCCCTTGTAATGAAATGGAAGAATAGCTCCTTGAGAACAGTAAGTGGGCTGTGAAAGGGCCTCTCTGCACTAAGATGAAGGAGGTACTAACACAGAATTCAGTGGGCTATTTCCCTCTTGTGCTGCAATTTAAAATAAGCAACACGAGAAGAAGGAATGAGCTCCTTTTACAGTTGAGAGAATGTAATTTACACATTAAGAATTTATTGCCTATAACATTTGGGAAACTTTTGGAGTTAATACTCAGAAAGTGGTATTATGTCCCTACCTGGAATGGTTAAAGGAAGAGGAAGGTTCCCAAAGCCAGGAGAAAGCCCTATAACAATTCTTAAACTTGCTCAAGCTACATGATCTGATAATAGTATAGTCACTAAGCATTCAGTCAATTCCAAACAATTTCACTCACCTAGGTTACCAGAAAGTCAATGATTTAGATTCAGTCAAGATTTCTATGTTCTCTTTTCTTTTGTATTTTGATTCCAATAAGAACATTCTTCCTATAGTTTTATGTGAGGCATATCATACCTGTCCCAGCCTGTAACCAGTATTGTCTTCTTAAGAACCAGGATCTGTGAAATGTCCACAACTCCCTCTTTTCCAACAGTTAGTGTATGGTGACAATATCCATTGAAATCCCACACCTTTAAGAGAAAAATTAAAATCACCTTTGAGACAAGAAAATGTCTTCTTCAATGAGTGAAACAGCACAGTGTAATAAGATTATTCTAAATGTTTGTGTTTCCATTCTGGACTAGGGTTGATTCACTCAGAAAATGTAATAATTCAAGAAAATCCCCTCACTATTGAAATTTAGCCATTATATGTATTTATTACTCTAGAGTAATACTACCAGTTTAGTCTATACATGTTTGATTCAAAGGCTAACAAATTAGTGGGTATTTTTAAGGGGGTGGCAAGTTAAAATCATGAAGAGCCCCATTTGGGAGTTTGTTGAAATCCTGCTTCTCACTCTAAGTACTAGTATGTCTCTCTAAAATTCCTAATTTATGACACAGGAACATTACTCCTCAGGGGTGTTTGGAATTTTAAACATCTAATACAGAGCCTGAAACACAGTGATCATTGTACCAAGTTTTCTATCATCTGCCTACAAAACATCTTTTTGATAGCGGGTGCTAGAACTCAGTCTTATGGAGGCACAGGCAATTCTAGATTACCCCACTTGGGCATTGGTGAGGACCTAGACCCAATAGGTGTGCTTTAAGACAGAATTTCATTAGGTCCCCAGCAGTTAAAACTATGCCTTGCTATAAGACATTGTTGGTACATCATGCACAAAGGGCAAGCTGGCATTCTGTCAAACTTACAATGCATATAATCTTTGACTCAAAAATTCAACTTTTAGAAAGTCATTACACAGAGACACTCAAATGTGTGAAATGGCCTAATTTGGAGAATATTCTTGAAACATTGTTTATAAAAACTAAAGATTTGAATCCATTTACTGGTTAGCTAATAAGAGACTGAGCATCAGAATATGGAATATCTATACAGTGACATATAATGGAGCCATTAAGAAGAATGAGTCACCACCATGTGTCCAAGCTCAGCCAAAACTAAACCAGCTGTGGAATCTTAAGCAAGTCGCTTTATCTCTTGGGCTTCAGTTTTCTCAGCTGTAAAACTGAGATAATAAAAGCAACAACCATAGTGTGTGTGTGTGTGTGTGTGTGTGTGTGTGTGTGTGTGTGTGAAGTGCAAGGAAAATTTCTGGTTCATAGTAAGCATGAAATAAATGTTAGCTAACATTATGACTATTGTTGGTATTCATATGAATCAATGTCCAAGCCAGGAAAATACAAAATACAGAACAGCATGGACAGCGAGCTGCCGTTGAGAAAGAAGTGGTGCTCAGAGGCCAGAGGCATGCATCAGAAACTGGAAACAGTGGCAGGCACAGTATGGAGCTGGAAACAAGGGTGAAAGATTTTTTTGACTTTATATCTATTTTATATTTTAAATTTTATTATATGCATGATTTAATTTATTCAAAACATTAATTAATTTTTAAAAAGACACTTCAAAACCCTGATAAACAGGGCAATACTTTTAAATCTTTGATTACAGAGGTATTGGTTTTAGATGCTGAATGATAAATGAGATTAGAAAATGTCATTCATTCTTGTTTCTTCATAAATACAGCCACTGTAGCTCAACCCTGATTTATGTGTCCTATGTAGAGGTTACCGAATTTCAGAATTCTGTTGTGCTATTGTGATAAAGATAAATGTACCTTCAAAAGCTGAGATTATACTAGTAAATTCACATTAGCTTCTAAGATGTCAAAGCTTGAGCTGAGCCAGAGCAGTGAACATCTTCTCACCCATGTCACTCTGTTTTCTTCTACCCATGGCTCCTAACCAAACCCACCTAAAATAATACCACACATAGGTATTGTAAGGATGTGACTCCCCCAGAATCTACCTCGTCCCTTAACTGGGACCATTTTAGCAACCATTTATAAGTCTGCCCTGCTCTGGATGGTTACTTCCTATGACAGGAGTAAAGGGAACCTAATCCACTTCCCTTATTTTTCAGTTCTGCCTCATTCCCCACGACTAGTAGTGGGGACACTTGCTTGTTCCTTTTGATAAGCCTCTGTCTAATACTCCACTTTCAGTTATTCTTTCTTTATTCCACCTTGACTATTAGGATTGGGATTATTCCATTACCCTCACACCTTTTACCAGTCAGTCCTTCCATGAATGAGTCTATTTTGCTTAAATCCAATCTCCCAGTCTATATGTCATCCATTAACCTTCCTAGAGGTTAATCAAATTCTGCTGATTCCCAGAGATTTTCACTGTAACATGCCATAGCACCTCCTTCCCACTGGCCATTAGCAGCCTGCAATCCTCCTTCAAACTTGCCTCCACCTTCCATGATATGACATCTACATATCCAGATAGCGTCCCTTACCCCGAATGCATCAGACATCCTATCATGGAAGGTACATCTAATTAACACTCTCATGACTCCAGATATGAAAGTTTGCAAGCCACTTAAAGCTTATTCAGAAAAGTACCCTCTGTTGCCTCGGAGTGTCACAAGTCATCTCCAATCAAACTCTGTCATTGCTCTCAGAGCCCGGGGAAGCAGGGAAGATTCACTGATGGACATGATTTCAGATTGTATCTAACTTGGCATAAAAATTTGATCATTTTTTGCAAAGTAAAATAGTATCATCTTTCTCCCAGAAGAAATTAATAATGGTTGCAAAATAAAGAAAAGCCCCAAAGCAGAATATTGTGTGAGTATAAGATAAATAATAAATAAGATTATGATTGTTCTTCCCCCTTTCTTCACCACCTCACCTTCACATAAAAATAAAAATTACAAAATGGAGCGATTCTAACATATTAATTTTCTGGAAACGTTGCATCTATGCCATGTTGAAAAGTTTACGTACTTGCCCTGATTTCTCATTTTATAAATCGAGGAAAAGGAAACTAGAGACATTAGCTGAAGCACATGGAAATTATTCAGGCCTCTTATTCCCCAAAGTAGTCCTCTATCCAGAGCACTGGAAAAAGCTTTCTGAAATAAGAAAGCCAAGTTGTGCTTTCATTCTAAATAATTTATTCAGAAAAACCATTTATTCATTTTTCCACAGAATTTTATTTTCCTAACATCTTTGTTATTAGATGGCTTGGGTTCTTTAGCTCTTCTTACCTTGTCTCATCTCTCTTCTTGCAAGGCCAAAAAAAGCACAAATAAATATAGTCAAAACTGTGTTTCCTCTCATAGTATTCTGGCCCCCTCTTGTCTGGTAAGAACTGTTCCTACCTTAACAGTTCCATCTGTGCTGCCAGTCAAAAGCCGTGTCTCATTTGCATCAAGGGCCATAGTGCTGATTTCTGCATTTCCATGACAACCAGTAAATTGTTTGATTTTCTGCCCAGTGTCTATCATCCAGAAGCAAACTGTTGACCCCACATCAGAGCTGATTACCTAAGAGAAAATAACATTGTAAAGAAATTAAATATAGTCCCAGAATCTATCATCGTTATTCCAATAAAACTATCGAACCTGTGCATTTTCTGTACTGGGATCCCCTAACAGTTAGAGACATTTTTGTAATGTATTTTCTTTCTTTTTGTTGAGCTGATAACATTTTAATTTCTAGGACAGGACTGAGATAATAAGGTCATGATTCTCTTTATGAGAAAAGATAGGAATCTACTTCCCTTACCCACCATTCAGCTTAGTGTCTAGAGGCCATTCTGAAATCGAATCCTCCTGAAGATAAACTTACAAATCTTTTGCATTTAAATGAGAAAGTTGATTTTAGTAGTCATGGTGATCTGACACTATTTACTATATGAAAAGACACATTTTATTGTATATCAGTTTCCATTTGGCATTCAGAAAAGAAAGCACTACTGCCATTATGGGGAAAAGTTAATTTCAACAAATTGCTAGAGCTATTGCTTTTAATGCTATTAGTCCCTTTCTTCTTCCTTTCACAAGGTACTGTGTATATTTTTACAGCCAAACACTATTATTGATAGGTCACTAAAAAGAAAGAACACAGGAAGGTTAAATATAAATCTGCATCTACACTCCCAAGAGAAAGGCAACAAAATAAATGCTAGTCAGGATAGAATTATATATAGTAACCCAACAGTGTGAAATCTTATAGTGGCAGGCAGACCACTAATTTCAGCTCTAAGCATTTAAGCACCCTTTAGTTTAAGAGATTTATAAAACCTTCTCACCAACAGGACTTTAGGTCCCAAAGAATAAAATAAAAAAAAAAGAATCACCAACCATACAAATGTATAGATAAAAAGTTGCCTGAAGCAACATCTACTCTGAGAAAACTTAAAGCATGTCTTTATCTGCTTAAGTATTGATTACCATTGTATAAATGTAAATTTATTAAAAATATGTTAAATTTGAGTGTTACATTTTCATAATTAAATGGGCTAAAGTTTTTCAACTGTATAAGGCCTGGATAGCAGCTGGCCATGATGCATACATGCATTCATTCTTTCTAGGGCACGCACTGAGTGGGTGTTCACTGTGCAGCTCCATGACAGAAGTGGGTTCACGGATGAATCCCTGCCCTCAAGGAGTCTGTAGTCTAAGGTTGACCATGAAAATCCCCTGGGGAACTTTATAAACCATGACTGCATACCATGCCACAGACTCTGATTTAATTGGACCAAGGAGGGGCATTTTTTATTTATTTATTTACTTATTTACTTTCTGTATTTGTCCATTGATTTTTAGAGAGTGAAAGGGATGGGGAGAGACAGAGAGAGAGAAACATCAATGTGAGAGAGACACATCCACCAGAATCAAACCCGGGACCCTTCAGTCCACAGGCCAACGCTCTATCCACTGAGCCAAACCGCCTAGGGCAGTGATGGCGAACCTATGACACTCATTTTTTTGGTTGATTTTTCTTTGTTAAATGGCATTTAAATATATAAAATAAATATCAAAAATATAAGTCTTTGTTTTACTATGGTTGCAAATATCAAAAAATTTCTATATGTGACATGGCACCAGAGTTAAGTTAGGGTTTTTCAAAATACTGACATGCCAAGCTCAAAAGGTTTGCCATCACTGGCCTAGGGCAAGGAGGGGCATTTTTTATAGAGCTTCCCACATTACTTAAGTGTGCAATCTGGATTAAGAACAACTTGTCTAGATGGAGAAACAGAAGGAGAGGCATTTTTATAGAGCTTCCACATTACTTAAGTGTGCGATCTGGATTAAGAACAACTTGTCTAGATGGAGAAACAGACAAGAAACAGAAAATGTCAAGTAATGTTACATGTTCAGAGGTATCATCCTGGGTGCTGTGGGGCACAGAAAGGAACCCAAAATCCACTCACTGGGGTGGGAGGTAGGGAATAAAAGGTGAGGATGATCAATCCGGATTGAAGATAGGTATTTATTGAGTGCCAAGTGCTTTACATTCACTATTTCATTTCATCTTTATAAAAAACCCTGAAAAATAAATATCGTTACCACCCTCATTTACCAGTGATAAAATTGAGATTCTAAGTAGCTAGATACTAGTCCCAAGCTTATAGAATGACGTTTGAAGGCTGCCCATGACAGACACATCACAAGGCCTTCCTCTAGTCCAGCATTGCATTCCAGATAGCTAAGAGCATGCGTAGAAGAGAGAACTTGGAGAATATTCCAAGCATGACAAAAACAATGGAAATGTCATGCAACCAGGGTACAGGTGACAGGATAAATGATGGAATATCGGGTGAGGAAGCAAGCTGGTGGGGGATATTTGAAATCCCTAACAAGCTATGCCAGAGAATAATGAATAATGTGTGTAAAGTTCATTTTACTCAGAAACAGTCTACAGCTTTCATTGGACTGTCACTAGGGTGTATGACTCAAAATAAAATAAAGAACAATTTCTTTGTTCTTAATAAGGAGGAGAGTCATACAGCATATTTTGTTGGTTGGTTTGTGAAGATACCTTTGGCAACAGTGTGGAGAACAAACAGGAGGCTGCTGTAATAGTCCAGGTAAGATATGCTCACCAAAAACAGTTCTGGAGATAAATGGAGAAGAGGAACTGGGGGAAAAGGCCACCAATTAGCAACATTTATACCCCAGCAAGGAAATGATCATGAGCATATAATCTCTCATAGCCTTTTTTTCTGAAATTACAACTCGGAATCAGATAATTTCTCAAATGATGTAATACTACTTTTCAAAAATATTTTTTTTTATTGACTCCAGAGAGGGAGAGAGGAAGAGAGAGATAAAAACATCAATGATGAGAGAGAATCATTGATCGGCTGCCTCCTGCACGCCCCCTACAGGGGATAGAGCCTGCAACCCAGGCATGTGCCTGACCGAGAATCAAACCATGACCACCTGGTTCATAGGTTGATGCTCAACCATTGAGACACACCGGCCGGGCAGCAATACTATTTTGATACACATTTTCTCTTAGTGGAGTCAAAGGTAGCTTATATATTTAATTACCTTCGTGAAATGATAGTGTAATTTCTAGGACAAATGACCTGGATCTTTGAAATAGTGTGACCAAGCACTTTCAGGATCATTCCAAGTAACTGACTGTGTTTCTGTTTGCTTTCGTTTGTGCAATATACATGGTGGTTAAGAGCCCTGAGCCTGGAGCCAGGGTGCCTCAGGTTGAATGTCAGTTGTCTGACGTTGGCTCATTACTCAATCTTTCCAAGCTCTAGCTTCCTCACCTGTAAACTAGAGAGAATCATAGTAGCTACCTCAAACTGTATTTAAGAGATATAAATAAGCTATTTACAAAACACAGAACATGTCATACAATAAATAAGCATAAAAATTAGCTAGTGTTACTATTCCAATTAAAACTTTATTTGTCTGACCTTTAATTTGGGCGAATATCACTTTTTATATCCAAATCAATAACAAAATATTTAATATCTTGCTTTCTTCCAACCATAACAGGGAATATAGACAATTACAATTTTAGAAACCTGATTTGTGGATGTACATTAAGGTTTCAAATTATACACTACTTCTGAATTTTTCTCATACTGTAATTGCTTAGAAATTTGGATTGCGTTCATTGAAGACAAAACCATGAGAAAATTTGAAAAGTGGTATTTTAAGAAAAAGTTAAAGGTTGTGAAGAATGTTATTATTTCTATTTTAAAAGCAATTATTGAGCACCTATTACATACTAACAGTTTTGTCCTAAAAGTTGGGCATTCCCTGGCAGAAATTAAAAGATTTAACTAAAATAAGTTCATATTCGGAGAAAACACTTGCTCACTTGTTTAAGACTAGCTCCAGCCACATTACAAAGCATCTAATCATCCACCCATCTCTTTCATTTAATGTAGACATTCAATCAAGAATTAATAAAATCGCTTTTTGCTGCTTTGCATTCTCCCTCTTTTGCCCACCTGCCTGAACTCCAACATACTATTCATCAGTTTTCAGCACTTTCTGCTCATTTAACAATTCCTCATGAAATCTGAATCAATAAGGAGAACAGTATATAGTCGGTCAAATTTAATTTTATGGCAATCTGTCTTAAGGAGCAGGCTTCTCAAAAACAATGCATTGAAAAACAACGACTGACTATGTCCCAGCACACAACCACTACAACCAACATCTACCGTCTATGACAATGTCAGCACACAAGAACAACAAAGCAGGTGAAAAGGTTTGCAGAGTTTAGTGAGAGACGAGTGCATTTAACATCACTTGGCAGATGAAGGAAGTGGTTTGACTGCAGGATGGAGGGCACTTTATCTTTAGCAAGCTGCTTTGATTGGTCAGAAAGCCCAGGAAGAGGGATTGGCACCACATTCATATGTCACGTTTTGATGACATCAAATCTCTTTACGTTTTCACTTTATTCCTGGCTGCTGCTCATCAGCCCATGCGGGCCAAACCCTGGGGGTTGCAGAGCAGAAATAGGCCTATTTCTATAACTACACTGCAGTGCATTGTGCCTCGAGAGCAAATCGTTGTTCTGATGGGAGCACGCGCCACCTTCTGTACCTGAGTTAACAACTGTTTAGGAATGTACGGGTCTTTTCATCTCTCTCATTGAGGCTGTCACAGCCAATCAGCCAATACTAAGAGATGTGACATTGTATTCACGTCCCCTAATTGTCTTCTTGCTATTCCAACAACAGTCAGCATTTTAGCTCTTTTTTCAGATACATCCCAAGTCCTAGGTCTAAGCAAGAGGAATCAAAAATTACAGCCAGGGATGTAGCTGGCTACCATGGGATCAGGACATTTGATTTAATTGCTTTTTTCTTTCTTTCTTTTTTTTTTAGTCAGTGCTGTTTACTATAGTCCCATAATATAAAGTAGGTTTTATCCTTTATTTCTGTTTTGCATCAAATCTCTGAAGTTATATCTCAGTAAGTAGCGAGGTGAGGAGAATGATAATATCTCTGAATACTGATACAGACAAAGGATTTGAATATTTTAAAGCAGTGATT